CTCCTCTCTTTCGCTTGTTGGGCTGTGATGTTTGGACACTCGCGTACCTTAGAATAGAGATGACGAGGCCCGTACTCGGCTGCTCGTGGGAATCCGCTTGTCGTTCTTTGCGATGATGTGGAACCAGTCCGACACTTCCCCTTTTGAACAATCAACCCGGAAGCTTTTGCTCTTTCATTCTTTGCCATGTTGCTTGTAACCTGCCTCCACATGGTTCTTTTTCCCCATTTCATTGTCCACATCCAGGGACGACATTCGTGACAGAGGGCCAGCTGGGAGCTGGTCGCCCCGCCGAACGAAACGAACAGACCAGCCAGAGAGCCGCAATAGTCAGGAAGTCGGGTCGGGGCATTTTGGGGGGAGGGGGGTTAGGGACGCGCGTTCAAAGTCCTGTCGAGACCACAGATCAGCATCCCAGACGGCATCCACGCGGCATCGCCCTTGCGCTAACCGCATCGAGCCGAGATCTGGAGTTTGTCCGCTTGGGCAGGGTCTCTTTCGTCTGTCCGTCTGTCTGTCTGTCTATCGATCCATCTGGTGCAAACGCAGCAACTCACTGGGTGACTAATCCTCCGACAGCCGCAATCCTGGAATGCCCTCTTGAACCTAATCACCAAGTGACGACACCGTACCAAAATAACGTTCGCCTGCGGCCCCGCCCCCTTTCCCCCGGGGACGGCTCATGTCGCAATCGCTTGTACTGCAAAAAAAAAAAAAAATGTGTGTATGGTTGAGTGTGCGCGGCCGAGGGTACGGTTGGCATCAGAGTTCGAGAAGAAGAGGTCCCGTGATGTTCCAGGGCGGCTGAGTCGCCAGAGATGCCGACGAACCTTCCTCCGGGCCCAGCGAGCCGTGTAAATCACCAACAGACAGACTAAGGGGGGGACGAAATCAGGAGAGCACAAGGAAGGAAGAAAGAAAGAAAGAAGAAAAGAAGAGGCCAGCGCCCGTCACTCTCCCCACTCGATTACGACCCTAAGGCACGCCATGGAGCTTGTTCTGTCTATGCTCTGTTGGCCATGCATCTTCGAGGAAACCTCCCCATTGCGAAAGAGCGCCTCTGCATGGGCAAGGTACGGCCAGCAGCCGCTCCACACTTGCCATCACTATCGGGCAGGCCTGACGAGTCACATAGAGGGAGGCCGGTCCGGACTGAGCGAGAACAAGCTTTGCCATCGAGATGGGCCTTGGCACGGGGTCGCATGCGTGGCTGTCAGGCGCAGTGTGGTGGACCAAGTTGGAAAAACCGGAAGCGAATAGATTTTGACTCCAGAGACTACCCCAGGAAGAACAGACCGCAACTGCCCCATCTTCTATCGACAGGCTGCAGGAAGTAGCTCGTCCCGCCCCCTCTCCTTTGCGGCATGCTTGACGCGATCCTCCTCTTTCACCGCCGCCCGTTTTGCTTGTCTACTCAGTACAATGTCATGCCACTCATCTCCTTTCAGCCTCGTTGGCGCCAAAGTACCGCTCGGGGAGGTCAACGTCCCACAGTGGCCTCTCCACAAGGACAGCCTCCAGTGATGGCAGATCCGTCGAACCGCCTGACTCGGACGCCGGCTGAGCGGCGCCATCACCGGCAGGGTCCAGGGCTACAATGCCAAGGATCGGCCTGTACTTGTACGTGTACCACCACTTCTTGCGTCCGGAGCCGCTGCTGGCATCCATCTGCGTGTCCCGGTTCCGCAGCGTCGCGAGCGCATCATGCTCGCTCTCGTTGCCGAGATCGTCGTTGTCGTTGTCTTCATCGTCATCGTCCTCCTCCTCCTGATCGGCATCTGCCATGTCCGTGTCGCTGCCCTCGGATCGCGTCGCCGCCGCCGCGTTTTCGAGGTCGGTCTGCCAGTCCTTGCCGCTGACATAGCGGTCAACCTGCTGGGGGACGAGAGAACCGATGGCCATGCGGCTGCCCGCACCACTCTCTGCGCCCTTGCGCTTCCTCTTCTGGCCCGCCTTGGCAAGCGCTGACGCGTTGCTGTCGGTAGTCAGGGCCGTGGAGGCGGCGCTGGGGTCACTGAGGTCCTGCGAAAGATCGAGCATGAAGAGGAACGACACGCCGTAGATCCAGGCGCGAGGACCCTGCCAGAGGATTCCCTTGGCGAGGTCGCGCGTGTCGCGGATGGTGTTGGGCAGACGAGCGGAGGGGTTGCGGCGGGACCAAGGCGTCAGACCGCCCTCAAGCGGGTTGAATGCTAGGATGTGCCAGACGTTTGTCACGGCGAGGAGGGTGTAGGGTGCGTCAGACGCCTCGGGCGCGAAAGACAGGACGACAGGCGGCGCAGGCAGCTTGGGCAGCAGCGTGGACGCGGGGGTGTGCTGCCATCGCTCTTTGCTACCCGTTGCGTCGTCAGCCTCCTCGACGTCGGCCTCACTCTCGGAAAAGTCGCTGTCAGATGACGCGTCGTCATCTTCGTCGGTCTCACCGTCGGAGCGAAGAACCCATGTATCGATGTAGCCAGCCAGATCGGCCACAGCGAGCATCTTGCTGTCAGGGGCAAAGGTCGCGTGCGTAATGGTCCTTTCGTAGTTGCCAAGACCTCCTAATTTCAAGTGCTTGGGAATCTTACGCTTCATGCGCGTCACGCTCTGCGGCCTGGCCAGAGTCGGGGCCTCGTCACTGGTGGCGTCGTGCTTGATTCGCAAGAGGAGCATCTTGGTTCCGTCCTGGATCGCAACGAGCCAGTTTCCGTCCGGCGATATCTGCACCAGGTTGGCTCCGTTGTTGGCGAGCGAGGCGGGGACCTCAATCTGCGAGAGCCGAATGTCGGAGGGCTTGGTAGGGTTCTGGTGCTGGAGGTGGAAGGCCTTGAACTCGGTGGCTGTAGCCACGGCGAGCACACTTCCATCAGGGGAAATGGAGGCTGCGGAAATGCTGGATTCGCCCTTGATAAGAATGGTCTTTAGAAGCTTGCGGTTCTTGTTGACGTCCTCGGCGTCGTTGTTGTAGATGCCGTCAAAAGTCTGGCGCAGCTTCCAAATGTTGACCTCTCGGTCCCACCAGCTCACGATGAGGCGCGCCTTGGGTGCGCTCTGGAGAGGTGGCTGTTGAGGAAGGTTCTGAAGTGTACGGTGGTTCTCACGGCCGAGCTCCTTGAGAGGGAGCACAACCGGGGACGCATCGGGCCCTGACAGGTTAGCATCAGTGAGAAAGGAGAGGAGCCCGGGACTTGTGCTCACCACCTGATACCACAACACTCATTTTTGCGCTCTCGAAGGAAGCCATAGCCTTGACGTCGTGATCGTGGTATTTCCTGCTCCAAACCTTGCCCCACCTGGAACCTGCGCCAGCGGTCTTCTTGTACAGGACGGTCCTACGGTCCATGCCTCCACTCAGCAGTGCAGTTCCGTCATTGCTTGTCGCCAGACTGAGGACATCCTGGCGATGGCTCTGCAGTCTTTGCATCTGGGTGTAGGTCTTTCCGTCCCATATAGTCACGTGCCCAGTTGAATCGCCAGAAACGATGTCGCCGTTCGGCAGACACTTGACGGACCAGACAATGATCTCCTTGGAGCCGCCGGCAAGATCGGCACCGAGTGTCATCTTGCGCAGCATCAAGCCGTTGCGCATATCATAAGCGCGAAGGGTAGAGTCGCTGCAGCCGACGACGACAACATCGCGGGACTGGAAGGCAATGCTCACCATCTGCGTCTTGCGAGCGGGAGACTTGACAAGGAGACGCTGAAAGCGAAGGTCCGAGTCGGCAATGGTGTAGATGGCCAGCGCACCGTCGATGGTGCCTGCAACGAGCTTGGAGACGCCATCGCTGGGAGAGGCGAGGGCCTTATTGCCGGTCGGGGCGGGCTGGGCGGCGATGCACCAGATATCGCCATGCTGGCCGCTGGCGGTACGAAGAGGCCGTCCCTTCTCGAGATCCCATTCTGTGACGGCGGAGGTATAGCCTATGCTGAAGAGGCGGGAGCGGCCGGGCATGATGGGTGCCTTGTCGGCGGGGGCATCGAGCGAGGCGTGAGGAAGCTCCTCGTCGGGCTCAACGACCCACACAAGACCGTCGACGGAGCGGTCGTTGCCGCCATGAATGATCTTCTCCTGGTGCCAGGCGCCGCTGGAGGGATTCCAGAGCTCAATGTCGCCATTTGCGCGTCCGACAGCGAGGCGGTTGAGGCTCGCCTGGAGGGTGGAACGGGTGGAGGGGCGGGAAAAGGCGAGGGCGTTGATGGGGGAAGGAGGATAAGGAACGAAGCGGCAGCGGTGGATGTCCATGGTTGGACGCTGGCTATGGCCTCGTTGAATGGAATGGATCAATCGGTGTCGGTTCGCGTTGAGGAGGCTGTTACGGAGCCGGTGGGAAGGGGGGAGACGTGGTGCCTGGCGAGCTTCTTCAGGTCTTCGGGAGAGAAGCTGCTACTGAACAGTCTCTTGCCAAATTTTTTGGAAATTTTGTCGGCGGTCGGGGATTGACTGGCCGGGGATGCATTAAGGTGTGGTCTGTGCGCGCGTTGCGACTGCCCCGCCAACTTCACCCCACCTTCCTGTGATGTCGACAAGCAGATTTACATCATGAAGAGTGAAAGAAACCCAGGCATCTCTTTCCAGACAGCTTTTCAGCTTCCCCTGAACAGACTACACGAAGCACCTGAATCGTGATGAAGGCAACTCGGGGGGTCAGGCTCTTCAAGGGGAGTCACTCTTAGTCTTGCGAGGCGGCTCGACTGCCACGGCCTGACTGGACTACCTGGAGCTCTTTCCATGTATCCAAAAAGCAATGACAGTCTGAGGAAAGTGTGAGGATGGTCAATGGTACCTGCATCGAGAGCTAGCAGCCATCTCTATCACTTCGCCTCGTTTGTTCCAATCTCGGATTCTGTCTCCTCCTCCAATGCATCAACAACGCTTTTTGGTTGTCTTTCTTGGTACCACCCTTTTGGAAGTGCTTTCTTTCGTTCGAGTCTTACTCATCGCCATCAGAATCTGCCACGCCAGTCTAGAAAAAAGGCGAGAGAACCGTTTGCTTTTCGAGCATACTAAGCTACCCACAAAGATGCTCCTCAATACGCCATTGCGGCCATCGAGTCCGCGCCCTTGCAAATGCATTTCCTCTCACTATTCTCTTCTATTCTATTATCTTGTCGTCCTGGTTGCTTCAGGACTGATCGCAGCATCACCCGTCGTTGAAGAGAACCGAAGAGGTGACTCGCTCTCTTCAAACGAACCTACTTCTGCCGAGAGAAGACAGCTGTTCGGTGTTCCGTGGGGTGCCTTCGGTCTTCAAGTCAGCCGGGACGGTCCCGATCCCAAGAATTCTGGCCTCATCGTGGACAACTCTGAGCCACAGCTTCCTCACAAGATCGATCTCACTATCTCCAATGAAATGCCCGTACCTGGTAACACCAACAATGGCCCTGGTGTCATGCCAGCACTAGGCGACATCTCCAGCAACCATGCTTCACAATTCGACGGTTCTCTACCTCTGCCAGTGCCAAGCATGCTGGACCACGACGATGTCCCTTCAGTTCCAGAAACCTTTGGTGACGAGAGTACAACCAATGGTCAGCGCCCGGGGGGTGTTGGTGATGCGCAAGGCGCAGGAGGAATGAACCAGCCGCCAACAACTCCCGTCATAGACGTCCCGAATCAAGCCAGTCTGGTTCAACCGCCGGATGCTCGGGAAGCAACGACTCCAGTAGGACAGGTCTAGTCGCCCTCCACTGCAACCAACCTGCCGGCCAGCAATGCAGCGGGTGCCGGTGTCAATAATGACGCTCCTACGCGCATGGAGTTCCCCAATAACGGTGCTTCACCTCTCAACATCGTGCCCACCCCGCCATCGACCGATGGCGTCTCACACAATGAGAACAGCATAGGAGCCGCACCAGGAGCCCAATTTAGCCCTGACGAAGGAGTTGCACCGCCTTCTAGAGATACAATCTTGGTCCCAGGCGGTTTGTTCACGACTGCCGCTCTTCCAGCAGGCCTTGAGGCTTCCCCAAGCAGCGGCGCACCAGATGGAGGGGCTCAGCAAGGTGGCGGTTCGGCCGATTCCCAAGCATTCCCTGCAGATCAGCCAGCTGAACCTCTCGTGACAGAGTTCACCGGCGTTTTGGGCCCAGGACAGCCTCAAGTCACTGCTCAGCCACTTCAAGGATACCCTGCCCCCCAACCAGAGCCCGAAGCAAACGGTCCTGGACAGCAGCCTGGACAACAACCACCCGGCACCGGACCATCACCGGGTCAAGCCCAATCACCTAGCCCCCTAGGAGAGCAGCAGCAACCAGAACCGCGTCTGCCTGCTGATCAGCCTCAACAGCAAGGACAGGGCCAGCCGGCGGGCCAACCTCAGCAAGCCGGAGCTCAGCAGGCTGGCGACCAACAGCAAGATGGGCAGCAAGATCAGGGTGCAACGCTACACCCAGCAACAGGCAGTCAGCCAGGCGGAAATACTCAGCAGTCGGGTCAAACCTCACAGTCCGGCGATGGATCTACTCAGCAGCCTGGTACAAGCCCTGGCACGACGCAGCAGAACAGTCAAGGTGCACAGCCCGGACAACAGCCACAAGCCAATAGTGGTTCCAGCAATAACGGGTTGTCCTCAGATGAACAAGCCCCGCGGCCCGGGTATAGACCCCAGCCCGGCGACGGCCCGCAGCCTGGCGAGGGGCCACAGCCTGGCGACGGGCCCCAACCTGGCGACGGGCCCCAACCTGACTATGTGTCCCAACCTGCTCAAGGACTGCAGCCACGACCAGCCCCTGTCATTTCAGGCTCTGGGCAGCCCAAACCACAGAATCTAGGTCAGCCTGCTGTAGCCCAGCCGCCTGCTTCCGAATCCGATTCAGGCGGCCTATCCGGGGCTCAATTGCCGCCGCAAGCTCCTGGACAAGACAGCACTATTCCGGGCACCGGCTCCCCAAATGAGGGTGAAACCCCGGGCAGTCCTGATTCACCTAACAACGGATTGCCGGGCAGCGGTGTCCCAACCGGGTTTTCCGCTTCATCCTCAACCCTTTTGGCTATCCCTTCGTCTGCTTGTCCAGCTTGCCCGACATATCCTGGGCCTGGCCTTAATTGCCCTGTGCCCTCGCCAACTATTCCCGATCCGATTCTGGGACCATGCCCGGGCCGAGGGTATTCTTGCAAAGAATGCCTGGACGGATGGTTCTGTCCCCCAAAAGAAACACCAATGCAAAAATGCCCTTGTGGATGGGGATGGCCATGCTATCATTGCGATGGTGGATGGTATTGCGCACCGGGTCCAACCCCTGTTCCACCCACACGTGCTTCACCCCCTCCAATGGTCATTACGACGACTGTTGTGGTCCCTCAATCGCCCACAAATGATCCTATTTCTGGTTCAAATATTGGACACGGCGGCGGCGCCGGCAACGGCCCTGACAGCGGATCGAATGGTAGTCCTGGCAGCAATCCGAACGGGGGATCAGGCGGCAGTGATAATGCAAGTACTGCGGACGGACCATATAGTAACAATGGTGTTGACGAACAAGATCACGCTCCTCCCATATGCTCAGGGCCGACCTGTCCTCCACTGACAAGCACCCCAGGAAATCCAGGTGGAGAAAGTGCATGCACAGGAGTTGGATGCCCTTCAAACCGCCCAGGGAGCGGCCAAAGCACTGGAACTGACAACAGTAACGGAGATTGCACAGGGTTGGGATGTCCAGCGGGCAACTCCCCGGGCAGCCGTCCAGCTCCGTATGGAGCCTCATCAGACAACAGCAATGGAGCTGTACCGCCTGATGATGACGTCGGCGAAGGAGACGATGGCATTGCTGCCAGAGTAGCCCCAATTGCAGGCGGATGGTCATATCTCGGATGCTTCAACGACAATCCGCAGCGAACGCTGGACTGCGACCCAAGAGACTACTACGCAGGCAACATGTCCAATGAAAAGTGCGTTGCATACTGCGACTCGAAGGGCTTCAAACTCGCAGGTACTGAGTATCATCGGGAGTGCTGGTGCGGCAACGTGTTCCAAAACGCCAAGCGCCTTCCTGATATGCAGTGTCGCATGGTCTGCGATGGCAACCCGGCCGAGCTCTGTGGCGGATCTTGGGCTCTTACAGTCTACAGTAAAGATGGCACGGCGGTCAACCGACCAGCGGATACGAATGAGGTGGGCTCGTACGGTGGTACGTCTGGCGAGAAGCGAGCCAGGGGTATGTATGACGCAAACTACTCTGAGAACCCAGGGCCAACGCCTGTCACGACACTCGTTACTGCGGCTCGTCCGGCTGGTTTCGCACCTCAGCCTCAGACTACCGGACTACCGAGCGGCCCTAGATTATTTACTGCCAGGATCATGGGGGTCTAAGAACAAGATACGACCTAAGGCCGCTGCCCGCAAGTATCCCGAGCAATCCGGTACCATGAGCTCCTACAAAGCCAACAGGAACCGCTGCATGAGCGGAAGCAGAAGCACTCATGCCAGAATCTGGGATTGATTTTTAAGAGGGTGGGGATTATGAAGGAATTACCACATGCATGAATACGCTGGGGAATACGACGACATGAGTTTATGAAGAGGGCATTATGAATTGTTTTTAATGTGCATAAGCTGGCGAACATTGTTGGTGCTCAGCTTTTGTTAATACACGGTTGACTGAGAGACATACGGCCGACGTGACAATTGACAATACCTGGCTCTAGGAAGATCGTCGTTGATGGCATGCACGGTTGGTCTTTGCCCTCACAGATGGACTTTGGGATAGTGGGAGAATGAGACGCGTCCCTGGGATGGCTATTCTAGTGATGCCAGCAATGACGACATGGAAAGGGGCTGGGGGATGTGAGTGATATGTTTCTGTCCAGGCGAAGATCGGATGACGGCCAAGCCGAGATTGAGAGCGGCTCGTGCTGGTCGGGGACGGGATATGGTGGAAACTACTGTCTGCCTGACTTGAAGACGCGATGGAGAAGAAGAGGGGGAGGCACTGCTTTCAGACGAGTTGCCGACATGACACGGGCGATCGAACAAGCTATTCTGGGGGGAGGAGAAGAGAAGGGGGGTTGTTTATTCCAGCACAGCAAAAGCAGCAGCAGCAGCAGCAGCAGCAAGAGGAGAAGGAGGGGGAGGAAGGTGGTGGTTGTGATCGGCGTCCTGGCGCTCGATAGCCGCCGTTGCACAGCAAGTGTTCAGACGAGCAACGTGGTTGTCTTGCAATCGCATGATGATGGCTCGAGGGGAGGGGGCCAGACAGGTCGGCATGGCTAGCTGCCAGGGACGATCTCGTTGTTTCACAGGCAGGCAGGGCCATGACCAAGCTTTTGATGAATCGTCTGAAGCAGGCGGGGAGCGGCGAGCGACGTAAGGGTACTCGCGAGATGGCATCCACAGCTTGAGTGGAGCGACGGCCGGTTGCTCCGTGCTGGCCTTGCGCGCGCAGGGCGTTGCAGTGGGCGTGGAGTGAGCGGCTCAGGGGAGGGCGTCGTCAGCGCCAAGCGAGGTTGGGTGAGAAGTAGGGGCAAGGCAGGGCGGGGCAAGGCAAGGCTGGGGGGGCACCGCGATGTCGTGGACGAAGGGATCACGAGATGGACGGGGATGCAGTGACCCCATGCGAGACAGGGTGAGGGGAGAAAGATACAGAGGGGAGAGAGAGAGATAAAGAGAGAGAGAGAGAGAAACAAAGAGAGCTGGAGAGCAAGTTTGCTTTGGTGTCTCACGGACGACAGACCAGACGGTTGGAGTTTGGGATGTCGTCTCAGACGCGGCCTGAGACCCCGGATGAGGCTGAGGGGCTTCTTCTGGCCAGGGGTGGCACAGGGACACGTGTGGCGGGCTCAGCGGGGTGTCTTGGCGTTCAGGCAGGGGAGGCGCTGTAGGTGCCTGCCCTTGCTGCTCTCCGGGCGCCCTCGCCAGGCGTGCCACGGCAAGTGACGCCCGGAGGGGTGACGTTCCGGTCCCTGCAGGGCCCCCGCTTTTACCCCCCGTCCTCAAACACGCTCAACCAGACAACAAGGCTGCAGGCCTAGCTGTCTCTCAGGCCTGGCTGTTGCTTCTCTACCACCACAACCACCGCCGGCCGGCGGTCCCCCTACCCACCTCTTGTCTCGATGGAGTCGGCGACCTGCACAGGGCCTTCGGCCTGTACCTGGCCTTCGACCTGTACCCAGCCGTCAGATCTTGATCTCGGCCCTGCGCTACACGACGTGCAGATCGCGTGGCTTGACGGATGACAGCTCACCACAGATCCGTCCCACAGAGTCAGCTCTCTCTCTCTCTCTCTCGCTCTCGAATCTCTCGCTCTGGGAATGCATGCCTACGACCCTACTCCGTTATGCCATCCACATTCACAAACCGCACACCTCTAGTCTCGTCTGGAAAAGCACCTTCACCATGGCCAGAGAGCCAAGAGAAACGTTTGTTCGCCAGCCATATTGGCATTTCGACGCAAACCATGGCCCGATCGAGCCTCAATCCGAGCCCCTGCCCACGAGCTTAAAACAGCGCCTCCCCAAGACGAGGAAGACCCGCTGCAACGGCGCGCGGTTGTCCAGGTCTAGACACCAATGCACGTCCCACGACGTTACCTTGGAGCACCCTGCTTCCACCCGTAACCCCCGTGCCGCGTTTCTGGAACCTGGAGCGGAGCATGACATGGTTCCTTGACGCTGGCGTCGCAGCACTGCGACTCAACGGTGACGATCATGTTTTCTGGCCTGGCCATCACCGCCGTCGCCCCTCGAACGAGAGAGACCGGCGCACGTCGCCCAGCCCGCGAGACGAAAGAGAAGCTGACAAAAGAGGATCTGCAAATTGCCAAGTCTGATGAGCACAGATTGACTTTCACCTTCACAGCGAGTTGAGATTGACCGCTAATGCAGCTTCACAGCAACGGAGGCCTTGACAATGACTGATGGCCCGCGCCTATGACTCGGAGCACTCGACTTCATCAGAACAGTCCTCAGATGATTGCCGAGTGCCTTGCCTGCCCAGATCTGTCGTCCTTAAGCTTCAGAGCCGCCTCGGTCGGTGAGAGTTACTCTGTCGGCTCTCTCCACTTGGGGACGCCCTCGTCTCAACGGCGGTCTGTCAGCTGGTCGTCGACCGGGGTGGCCCTGTTCGAGGCGCTTCATCGCTACCTCGCTTCCAGAGAACCCAACCATTAGCGCCCCCGTTTGGGTTCGCGCTTCTTTGAGCGCCCTGTATCAAGGGTGCCATTCTTCGGCCTTAGCATCAACTCTCCCTTTTTGGGTCATCTTGAGACGAGCCCCGTCGGATGAGACCGAGCTTTGGGATGGCAGGCACCTGTGCATCTGTGATGCTGCCGCACCATCTTCTGGCAAATGCGGCCGTGTGATCGACTTCAGGGCGTCCCCGTCGTCATTTCGGATCCTGCTGTCCCTCCGCCTCGCGTCGGAGCCGATCGACAGCGAAGCCTCGAGTTGGGATGACACCCACCACAGACAGCATCGACCGTGGGACATGAGGCCCGGCGAGCTAGGCATGCCGGGGGACGAGATGCGACTTGACGACCCTCTCACTTCTCTTCTCCCTATATAATCGTCCCATCCCATCCGTCGAGTTATGCTTCTTTCTTTCCCCCTCCTCATCCACATCCAGCTTCATCAAGTCTTCCTTCGCTCTCAGGTCTTCCTTACCTTCCTTCTCTTACCTTCTATCTTTAGGTTCTGTGAACTCTTTTTCCAATCTATTCTTACGTTCCCTCGCTCGCAAGACTATCCAACTACAACCGCTAGCCGGCCTCTTTCATTCTTTGACAGAATATCAGTTTTCACTTCGTTCCTCACAACCACAACAACCAACCTCGTCAAAATATCCAACATGTCTGCCTCTGCCAAGCTCATCCTCATCTCCGCCCTCGTGGCCTACGTCGAAGCCCGCTTTGGCCAGGAGCAGATCCCTGTCGCCGCCGTCTCCGCCCTCGACGGCCAGTTTGGCCAGTCCGGCCAGGCTGCGACCCTCGCCGGCGGCGTCCCCGGCGTCCTCCTCGGCGGTGCTGACCCCTGCGCCAAGCTGACCCTCGCGGACAACATTGTCACGACCCTCGGCAACGACCCTGCTGTCATTGCCGCCGCCGCCGGTGTCGTCGCTGCCGAGCAGAACTTCAACCCCTTCACCTCCGACATTCCCAACATTTGCGGTGACGCCAGCCTGCCCGCCACCGAGGCTCTGCGCGGCATCCTGCCCGCCATTGACCCCGCCGTCGCCAACGCGGCCCTGGCCAACCAGCTCAGCGCTTCATCTCTGCAGACGCCCCTTGGTGCTGCCGGCGTCTCGGTTGCCGACCTGTTCATCGCCAACGGATTTTCGGATCTGAAGATTGACGGCCAGGCTGCCGCTGGTGCCGGTGCCGGTGCTGGTGCTGGAGCTGGAGCTGGCGCTGGAGCTGGTGCTGGAGCTGGAGCTGGTGCCGGCACTGGCGGCAACGGCAATGCTGGCAACGGCAATGCTGGCAACGGCAACGCCGGTAACAACAACAATGCCGGTAAAGGCTGTGGTGCTGTTGCTCCTGCTCCTGGTGCTGGAGCTGGAGCTGGTGCCGGCAATGCTGGCAACGGCAATGCTGGCAACGGCAACGCCGGCAACGGCAACGCTGGCGGCAACGCCGGAGGCAATGCTGGCGGTGCCGCCGACTTTGGCCAGTGCACGCCTACCATGGACTTCCAGCTCGGCCGTGGCAACCGCGCCGCCAATGAGGGCACCTTCCTTCCCACCGACTCTCTCGTCGCCCAGGGACAGCAGGATGCTCTCAACCCCAACATCATCACCAACCGCATCTGCGACCAGCTCATCAACGTCTGCAATGCCAACGCTGCGGCCATTGCGAAGTGCGAGGACGCTCAGGCTCAGGTTGAGGCTTCCGGCGACCGCAGCGCCGCGGTGGCGGACGTCTTCAACGGCCTCCTTGGCTTCTAAACGGTACCAGGGACTTGGTGTCCGTTTTGATTTGGTAGCATGTGCTGTCTCTGGATTTTGATGGCCGCCCTCCTTCCCCGAGGGCGGACCTTAGCATGGCGCATGCAAATGTATTTACATACAACATGGTACGATATGGAGCAAAACTTTTACTTTGTGGTGGAGCTGGTTCTGGATGACATTTGGAAGGAAGGGGAAGATACTGGTAGCCTGAGTACATGACACGGTCTGGTGTTCTGGAGAAATCAATAACGAAACATTCAGTCAATCACTGCAACTCGTGCACCTTGTAAGACTTGTGCGATCTGTGCGAATAACGTTACGGGCATGCGATGATGTCTTGCCGGTTTGTGGAACAGATGGCGGCTCGGGTTCAGGGGTTCAGGGGCATGTACGCCATCACCCCGACAAAGCCTTTGCGGCCTGCTGTCCAGCCATTCGCCCAAACACCGCGCACTCGAGCAGAGATGACCCTCCTAGTCTGTTGTCACCATGGACGCCTCCAGTAATCTCACCAGCCGCCCAGAGTCCCTCAATCGGCTCCAGCACGCCGCCCGCCCCTCGCCGCAGCACGCGGGCCTCTGCGTCGAACGCAGCGCCTCCCATGGTGAAGTGCACAATGGGCGTCACCGTACCCACGCAGACGACCTCTTCCCGGTTCGTTTTGCCCGGCTGCAATCTCCAGTGCCCAAAAGACGATCTTCCAAATTCGTTATCCTGACCTGATGCGACCACCTCGGCGTACCGGTCCACGGCCTCGATCATATTGGGTGGCAGCTCACCTACCCTTTTCTTCTCCATGAACCCTTTGAACAGATAGAAGCCCAGGTGAGAACCGGCCGCCTCGCAGGCTCCCGGGTCGAGCACCAGCGTCACGTCCCACTGCCGCACCGTCGCCTCGTCTCCGGCGGGTTGCCTCTCCTCCATGATGGCCCTGCTGACGACCTCCCTCGTCGCCAGCTCGTTGACGAACCGCCGCCCGTCGGACGAAAGCAAGATGCCGCCCTCGCCGCGCAGCATCTCAGCCGCGAGAAACTTGTACTGCGCCGCCGGCGCCTCGGGGTCGACGAACCCCGTCGGGTGAATCTGCACGCTGTCCATGTCGACGAGCTCGGCGCCAACATCTGTCAGCAGACCGTGCGCGCCGGGCCGCGCCTCGTTCGTCGACGGCATGCCGGCGAGGTCGGGGCGATACTGCGCCAGGAGACCACGAGCGTCGCCCGCGAACCCACCCGCCGCGAAGACGACCGGCCCGGCCAGTTCGTGCCGCTGCTTCTCGTGCGTTTGCCGGCCCCCCGTGACGGCCCCGCCCGGCGCCGTCATCAGGCCCACGACCTCGGCGGACGTCGTCAGCTCGAACCTCGGGTCCGCCTGCAGCCTCTTCAGCAGCGTCGTGACGATGGCCGCGCCGGGCGGCAGCGCGCCGGCGCCGCGGTGCGTCCTCGCGACAGAGTGGCCGCCCAGCGGCGCCACGACGCCGAGGTCGACGCCCATGTCGTCCGCAAGCCACGCCACAGCCTCGGCCGACCGCCCCGTCAGCGTGCCGACGAGGCCCGCCCTGTCGATGCCCGCCGCATCCTCAGCCGCCGCCGCGGCGAACCTGGCCCCCGCCGACCGCACCGTGTCGCCGTAAAACGACGTGTCCGTCTCGATGCCCCTCGCCTTCTGAAACCGCGTGCCGGCGCCGTTGATCCCGGACGACGCCTTGATGCTGTTGCCGCCCGTCTTGGCCCCGCGCTCGAGCATGCGCACGTGCGCCCCGCGCTGGAGCGCCTCGTGCGCCGCCGCCAGGCCCGCGAGCCCGGACCCGACGACGATGATGACGCGGCGCTCTGCCGCTGCCGACGTCATGACGACGTGTGTCGGACCGACGGTGTGCGCGGTCGTTCCGAACAGGCGCGTGAGACGGCCGGCTGCGAAGTGAGAAGCGTGGCGCAGAGAGTGACGCTGGCAGAGCATGCCCAGCGTGACGGCCGCGATGAACCCGAGGAGCAGCGTCAGTGTGAGTTTTGAGAGTCGGGTCGTGTGCATGGCCGCTTACAGAGGGGGCGGGCTGTTCATGGCAGCGATGCAGTGGAGGACTTTTGTTTTTTTATATACCAATAGCGTTTTCTTGGGGTTATCACGCCATGTCAGAATAGAGAGAGAGCTGAGTCGGCGAGAGGGGGCATGTCACGCCACGTTCAAAATGTCGTATGATAGTCGTCTGGACGTGGGCGCCCTCGTCTCGGTGAGCCCCCCTCTCGGTGAGCTTGCCGCCTCACCGAGACGGACGCAAACGGCGACGGTTCCCAGCCTCGACCATCGACTAGATCCTCCCAGCTCCGCGCCTACACCAAAGCAAGCCGCACCAAACATCATCCCTTCAGGACCGAGAACGGTCTCAGGTACTTGAGAGCTAAGGAGCCGGCTCAAACGCCTACTTCCCAGATTCTTTATCTGATATAGTGCGATCAAGCGATGTCATGTAACTGGTCCAGAAGCTGAATTCTGCTATCATGCCTGGAGCGCCCGGTATGCACCGAAGTACCTGAGGTCGTTCTGCGCCCTGAAGGGAGAGAACAAGTAAGTTCGGGGCCTGTCCTCATACACCTTGCGCAGACCATTCCCCGCCGAACGGTCGAGACGTCGGACAACGTCCGCCCCTTCCAGACGAAACCTGCGTCATCGCCCGCCGCGGCGTCAGAAATGACAGCTCACGCGCTTTTCTTCCACGCCCGGATCGAGTGTGCGCCGGAGCGATCGCTGGCAGGCATGGGCGTTGGAGGGTCGTTCGGGGTTCTCTCAGGGCGCGAGACCCCCGCGCCCGACGACCGGGCGGCGCCCCTCCCGACGCCGAGTGATCATCGATTACGTCGTTGCGTGCGGAGAATTATGAGCCATCGAGCGGAGCTTTTGCGCTGTCACATAGTCGTGAGATGAACAGCATTGGCGCCGTAATGCTACGTCCACGGCGGTCTGCGGTGCTGCGCGGTGCGAACCCACGAACGAGCGATACAAGCTGCTGATGAGCAAAATCGCAAATTGATAACAATTCGTGCAGCTTCTTCAATGTGAACAGCGAAATTTTGATTAGGTCGCTCCTTGCAGAACTATTCGAAAAATTACAAATCCCAGCCGTAGCGACTCCCAACGCCCATCGTCCAGACACCAGCTCGGTCATCATGTGCTCTGTGACTGCGCTCACCGAGCCTAGTCCATGGTGCGCCCGCTCTTGGTGCGGCGAATCTCCTTGCCCTTCTCCGACCACGGCATGTGAATGACTGGTACGCGGAAGAAGCTGTTGCCGTCGTCTTGCAGACCTGCCAGTGCATTGTACCACGCCAAGAACGCAGCCAGCATACCAAATGTACCACCGACAATCTGCAGGTGGCGAGCAGTCGTCTCGTTGCCAGCATTCAAGGCATAGTTCTCGCACGCCAAGAAGAGGAAAGCAATGTCCAGAGTAAAGAACAAGGAGAAGAAGGCGACGGTGGACTTGAGTGTACACAGCAGGAGGATCGTTGTGAAGATGAACCAACCCGTCAGGAAGAATCCGACGGCAGAATAGTGGTCCGAGTAATCAGCGGCGTAGGGGCCGTCGGGGGCGGTTATGCCCCATGCAGGCGTCAGGAGAATACCATAGGCAATCCAGAAGCCGCCGTAAGAGGAGAGTGCAGTGGCACCAAAGGTGTTGCCAACGGCCATTTCCCTGCACGAATTAGGTCAGTCCATGATATCGTATGGGGATCCTCCACAAATGCGGCTCCGCTGAGAGGGACCGAAATCCACAATGAGGTGGCGACGCGGTTGAACCCATGACCCACCACGGTAGGAGCTCAGGGCATAACCAAGCACAAAACGTGCCCAATCTCTGTCATGGTGCCACAACGCGAAACCAGAAGTCGGGGGAAAATGGAAGAGAGGAAGAGTGAGTACTAACCACATGCCAGCGAGTAGCTGGACGAGACCGCCATAGGCAAAAGCCAGAGGAACGGCAATGTTGGGCGCCTTGACGCCACGCGCCTGAAGGTTGACGCAAGACAGGACAAATGTCGTCAAAGCAAAGGCACAGAGGCCAAGAGGCGCGGGGTTGGCGAATTTGCGGTGCTCGAGGGGCTTCCACATGCCGGGCTGCAGGGCGCCGCCGAAAGCCATGGACGTGGGATAGTCGTGGTAGCTGTCACGACGCGATCGGTAGTGGTCCTGATGTTCGTGGCCGTTGCCATTGATTGGGCCACCATGGTGGTTGTGGCCGAAGCCGTTGGCGTTCTCATGCATACCAGCGCTGGTCTGGAACTCCTTCTCAGTGCCGGCTGGAGGCACTGCGCCGTGTTGGGCGCTGGTGGTGTTGGCGGCCATGATGTCAGGGATTGGGTATTGTATGTATCTTGAATTGCTTGGGGATGTCGAGTGAGTGAAGAAGGTCTTTAAGATGTTTGGCCTGAACGATGATGCGCGACCCAATATCTTATACGACCAGCAGGGTTGGGATACAGGAGACAATGGGGGAACAAACTTCCTCTCACCCGGGGTAGGTGGGGAGATTGTGCTTTAAGGAAGCTCGGGGGGTGCGAGATGGAAAGCTCGTCTGGAGATACGGGGTAGACTGATGGGGGAGTGGGCCGTTCAGAGACAGCTGACGGTAAGCTGGTGCCAGGAAGAGAGAAGGCAATTTGTCAACAAGTCATTCAGGGTCGAGATGGAGCAGCACAAAGGCCCGAAGGCCGTGGAGCGTGGACCTTGGTGAGAAAAGAGCTAGGGGCGGGAGTGTTGGGGTGAAATTAGCACCATGGGCCGGAAAGACGATGCAGCCAAAGTGGTGAGATCGACGCTGAACTGGCGATGGTAATGGAGAAGCAGTGACCTCACTTGAGGACATGGGCTTGGTCGTTCGCCCCAACCACTGGCTCTGACGCCAGATCTACCTTCTCCGGTCACCATGCCTGTCGACTAGCATTGGATGAGAGACGTGCTTCAGGTCCGGGGAATGGCTGACCAGCATCATCTGGTGCCTGGGCCTGCTGCGTGACTGAAGGCCTTGGTTACTGCTCGGGGAATTGGGGAGCCCCAACCAATGCTCTGCCCTAGTTTCCTTCTCAGATTTAAATTTTTGCGCGACACGGCAGCTCAAGCATGTCCGCAAACTGAGTCTGGACCCTGTCGACAAAGCATGGTGCCCTGGATGAGTTAGGCCCTTGGGCAAAGGGAGCAACGAGTGGTCGTGACACTGGGCTCGATGTGTGGCCTGATGTCATGTACCCTGAAGTGGTCTAGAAATGGTCGGGGCCCTTTCCGTCGTGGAGACTAGCGTTCCGTTTGATCCGGGCGATGTGGGCGGCAGACTGGATAGAAGCATAGAAGATGGGGCTTCGTTGCGATGTCCCCGGAGCCGACCTCCGCCCACGTAAGTCCCATCACCGAGGGGGACAACGTAGTGTATCTCTTCGCCCCAGGCAGACTTCGGGGCGCGTCCGTCCAGCCAACACGCGTTAGGGCATGGATGAAGAATAGACGTTCTGAAAAGGGAGCCCGATGTCCTTCGGACACCGAATTTGAAGGTCGAGCAACAACAGTCCCAGTCGTCGATGTTCCTGATGCGGACGAGGCTCAGGTAGATGATGACATGGCCCACGGCAGTAGCGCGCTTGTAGGGATGATCAGAATGCAGATCGGGCTGGGCGTCGCATGTCGGCAGCAATTTGCCGAGTCAGTAGCGTTTGCGGCGGCGGCCCAGGGTTCTCGACGTCGGGATGCCCCTCAACGGACATTTGCGACCGCGACCACAACGACGATGGGCGGTAGGTACCCCATTTCTAGATGCTTGTTGCTGCTCCATGCGCAGGATCCCTGGTAGGAAAAACTCTTCTCAGCACCGAAAGAATTGGAGCGACGACACGTACCCATCGTCGATTGAGGGGAAGGTAGGATCGCGACGCAGCCACGCCGGCCTCGAGCATCGCTGCGGACCATTGCCAAGTGAGCGAGAACTGACGATGATGGCGAATGGCTCGTTGGCATCAGGTGAGAAGGTGCGCGCTGATGCAGCGCCTTCAAGGGGAAGCCATTCAACGCTGAGCTCGGATGGACCAGCGCTCTCGCGGCGTCATCATGACATGACCCGTAGTTGGAGATGGCCAGCCTTGGAGAAATGAAATGGAGGGATCGTTCGCGAGTTGAGATGACTCGTGTGTGTGTGTGTTGCTTGTGGCGCGTGTGGCAGGTACAGTAGCAGGGCCGCTTCCTTCCCTCCTTCCTTCCCTCCCCTCCCTGGTCCTTGCCACATCCTGCACGAAGACGGGTAACACCTGCTTGGCGGGGCTTCATGTGGAAGGTTTCCGCGGCAGCTGTGCGCCACATGCACTTAAGCGACTCGACCATCGAGAAAGAATGAATGACGTTTCCCCATCCTCGACAACCCTCACAAGGAACAGGAAGGGAACCCATCGGATGGCGGGCCCAGCTCTCAGATGATCAACTCGCCCCAGACCGTCGAAACCTTTGTTTGACTTACGCTTATTTCCCCGGCAGTCTCCAGCATCTAGATCGCAGAAGAAATCTCAAATACCTGCCTTAGCGGCACAGCGACGGCGACTCTATTACTCGACCCGTTGAGGCGGTCATGGCTCTTCTTGGCAGACCTCCGCGAGCACTGGCACGCTGGGTTGGCATGCACACACTGCCGTGATTCCCGTCCTGCAGAAGCAGAAGTCAAATCAAATGCGTTGAGACGCATGTGCCTCCCCTGTACTCGGTTGATTGATGTCGCGAGCTGTTGGTTCTCCAAAACCAAAACTATCCTACAGAACAGACAGGGTGGGATGGACGACAGCCTGTCGAGGTGCAGGCTAAATTCACATAGCCAGCTCTGACCCCATGCATGTAGCCCGCTAACAGCGTGACCGACCACTGAAGTGTGCTGAACGGGCAGGTTAGTGCAAATGGCAACCGAGCAGCGGTCTCCAACTCCAACACGGTACCGCTATTGAATCTGCTTCCCCCCGAGTCTGAACAGTCACGATGTCTGTCGTCGGAAGCATCGCCTGGAACCGTATTCCCGTCGCCTGACGTTCCCAATGCCAAGCGCCAATGCAGCCGCATCGCGCAACCCTGCCCCGAATTTGGCAAGCCCCCTCCATCGTAACTCTGTGAACCCTGCAGATCCGCCCGTCTCGGCGTCAAGCCCCCTTCCCAAAATACTCTTCCCTTCGTCCGGCGGCTCAAAATCGCAGGCGAACAAGCCACCGAAACGTAACAAACGCGAATCCACTCGTCTCCATCAGCATGGCACCGGGCAGAGCCCCATTCCACCCATCGCATCGATACGTGGGGGCTGTTTGGGGGGGAGGCGATGGGACGTGTATCGCGTCTCTTTCCCGTTGACTCCCCATTCGGTGTGTGTGCGCGCGTGCGTGTGTGTGCGTGATGCTGCGTGGTTCGACAAAAAAGAGAGTCCGTCGGCAACAAGGAGCAAGAGCCGTGATATCCGTTCCGTTGCTGCGAGAGTGGAACACCCATCATCATCGGCGCTGATGCTTATTCGCAAGTCAGGGGGTTCGCGTGCACCCGCTCTTGGGTCTCTCCCCTCTCACAAGTGACGAGAAACGGATGGGACGGACGCCTGCTGATCCCCTCGACGCCGTCTCATCCGAGCGACTGGTCTGTCACCCTCTTGTACACCTGTGCGCGTGCGCGTGTAAAGGCGGAGAGAAGGGGGAAAGGCCGACGCGCAACACCTTTTGAGGCATGTCGCACTATCCAATCTCCTCGCCGCCTGGTTCAATTTACGTAGAGTATCGCATGGGAACCACGCCCAACGAACTGGGATTCAATATACCCGTCGGCAACGACGGCCGGTCGTATTCGCCCGCCTGTCCGGTTTCGAGCGTCTGCTGACGGCCTTGAGGGGTTCGACTCGGCTAGGTCGGCACCCGCCCTGGCGAATTCCGTAGGGACTGCGGAGCCGACGATGCGGAGGCCTGTCTTAGTCCCAGACCGATGAACTGAGGGGAAAGGATCCGGGGGGCCGAGTTGCTGAGCTTCAAAGCCTATGCAGAAGAACCGACGATTGAAGGCCTGCCGCCCTTGCAAGGTACTTTTCGTCACCGCCAGGCGAAGGCCAGGTTGATGGAAACAGTATTGCGATCAACGCTGGCCAGCATGTTGGCAATTTCAGCCTCCATCAGTCCAGATCAGTGTCGTGCGGATCCCAAGCCTGACCACAGCGTTCCCATTCCATAGTCCATGACCGGCAAACACGGGCAGTGAAGGAACATGCGTGACCTAGTCGGCTGACCATCTGGGCGTGATTTGAGAGGCATCGAGGCTGGAGTCTACTCCTGTCAATAGGGTTCGAATCCGGCGTGCCTCGCCGTCAGACCTACAGTCGAGTGCTACAGGTTGAGCATCACCGCTCTCTAGCACCTTGATTCTTGTCCCACAATTTTGGCTGCGATAGAAGCGAACCTACCTGGTTCTGTTATGGTTTGATTCTTTGCCATCTCGACCCTCGTCGACTGGGTCGTCACATCCTTGACGCAAGCTGACACGAAAGTCTATCATCCAACATGGGTATCATTCGTCAACTCGAAACCTATCTTTGCCAATCACTCTATGATCCAAAACAGAGCTTCTTCTGTCGAGGGTCAGCATTCGCACTCGACGGCCTTCCCCGCTTCCTGTCATTCCCCAGCTTTGTCCTTTTAGGTTCAGGGGTGCTTGACCTGATGCAAGCGGCCGCCAGTGGAGGGACATCCTCCTGAACTGCCTCCCGAATGGTCTGCCGAGACAGACACAGGTCAATGTGCTCATTGAACGTCCTCTCGTCGGGCGCCTGTGGACGGCCGCAAATGGGACAGTCCCAGAGTTCGGCACCACTGACGGGAGCATCCTCGTCAATTGGGTTTGGAAGAATCTCCTTGCCGTGACGTCGAAAGGGACTTGACACGCTGTCCTCGACTTCCTCTGCGGCAGTATTCGCCTGCTCTTGTAGCTCCTCATCGAGCTGGTAAAGCTCTTCCTCCGGCCACTGTTCCCAGCCATCGTCGTCCGTCACCCCTTGAGTATTGAGTTTCTCGCCACCCGCGTCAGACTTGCTCGGAGATCCTGTTGCAACATTGCCCTTCCGTGATCGAAAGCCGAAGAACGCCACTGTATCGGGCTTTTTCGTGCTCACCAGGTGCGTCATCCGCAGGCCCATGAGGCGGAGCTTCATATCGGGTATCTCCTGCTGCAGCTTGGTGAGAATAGGCAGAGAGTGGTTGAACAGGTCATCTGCGAGGCAAATGGATTTCTGCGTGACGACCTGCCTTGTGAACACTTCATATGTGTGGAGCTTGATTTTCAGCACCAGAGTACGGCCTTTGACCTCGGCTCTCTTCATATCCTTTTCCAACTCGTCGGCCGTCCATCTCAGCTTCTCCGTGAGTTGTGTTGGATCTGACATATCGTGAAACGTGCTTTCTGTGCCTACACTCTTGCGCTCGTACTCTTCTGCCGGCTGGATCTTGGTACGCCCCAGGCCGAGATAGCAGTGGATCAGAAATTCAAACGCTTTTTGGCCAAACAATTGATTGAGATATTGTCGGTACTCGTAAATCTCGCCACAGGTTGTTACTCCGATCTCCGTCAGCTGGCGCTCGAGGACCCGGCCAACGCCATTTACCTTCCGTGGGGGAAGGCTGCCCATGAATTTCATGATGGACGCCCGGTCGCTCGGCAGCAGATACTGCCCGTTCGGCTTGTTCATGTTGGAGCAAATCTTGGCGAGCTTTGCATTGGCAGCAATGCCAGCGGACACTGTAATCTTCGTCTTCTCATGGATCTCGCGTCGCATTTGCTGGACGGCATCTTCGGGGCTAATGGCTTTGGCGCTGCAATACTCCGTGATATTGAGATATGCCTCGTCGATGCTAGCACTTTCGAATCGCGGGTCGTAGTGGGCAATAATCTCGCGGACTTCTTGAGCCTTGGCAATGTACTTATCAAAATTTAACTTGATGAAGATGAGCTGGGGACAGAGCTTTTTGGCGACGAAGCCGGCCATGCCACTGCGGCAGCCAAATTTCCGAGCCACGTAGTTGCAGGTCGTCAAGACGCCACCGCCAACAGCGAACGGCAGATGCTCGAGCTCAGGCCGGTCAAGCAGCTCCACAGCCGCGTAGAACGCATCGCAGTCGATGTGGACAATGTGTTGTGTGAGGTCGCGAGATACTTCTAGCTCCGTGATAAGCTGGTTGGCCTGACGCAACTCACGCGTGAGGTCGAGAGAATCCAGCCGTCGCTTTTTCAGCAGAATCTGGTCGATTTTCTGAGTCAAAATCTTGTCCTTGGCTTCTTCCCGGTTGAAATATTTGGAGCCTTTTGATGCATTATAGATGATTTCGGAGACCTGGAGAACGGGTGAGTCAGCGCACTTGTTTCATGACTGACGGTCCGAGGGCTATTCACCTTGTTTTGGTCGACTGAGTCCTGACCTGCCTTGGTTAACGATGGACCGAGGAGATGGTACTTCAAGGTATCGTGTTCAGCGACAGTCTTCGGGTCATCGGGTGGTGCGGCCATCTCGGCCCGGAGTGAAGGTGGGCAATCTAACTTTCGTGGGTAGGGATCGCGACGCCGCAGCGCATGGCAATCTGCGTGATCGTGGCCATCAACGTGCACCAACTAGCAGTCTCTGAAAGCAGTGCCACAGGTTGCCGACGCGACGTGTGCCAGAAGGCTGCCTTGCCCCTCAGACGTCGAAACGACGCGTTGTTCAGTGTCGGCAAATGCACGCGAAGTCACGTGGCTGCCCCGCACCTGCGATAAGATTGATTGGACCAAACACTGTGCCCATTGAAAGTCCCATGTTGGGCCCTGGTGCCCAGTTTCCTTACAGGCAGGTGTACCTTGCCCACCATGGTAGCTAGGTTCCTAGGCGCCTCGTTCAATTGCTCGACCTCTGAAGTGTACCAGCTTGAAAGGCAAGGATGCAAATGTTGACTTCGCCCCTAGTCATCAAGAGGCTTGACTTCAAGTCACATGCATGCTGGACGCTTTTGAGAAAGGTGCTCAAGTCAGAAGAGGAGGCAGTGGTTGCTTCTGCTCTATAGGAGAACATCTACGGCCCGATTTGTGGCAGTGGACACCAAATCGCCAACACGCCCTGTTGCTCTCAACTCGAAAGCAAGCAACGGAGGACATAGCCAGAAGGAAAGGAATCAGCAGTGGTCATAAAAGGAAAGATCTTAAATCGGTCGAACACACAAACAGCCCCGTCAAACCACGTCCATTACCTGATACGCCGTAGTCATCTCTTTCTCGTCTTCACCATCGTATGCGTCTCTTCGATATGGCGGACCATGTTGTCCCTGCGCGTAAAGAATTCATTGCAACCAGAGTACAGGCACTTTCCATCTTCGCGAGGAATGCCATTTCGAGGATCGGCGGCGTAAGAGGGGTGGACACATCGGACGTGGCGATACATATCTTTGTTGTAGGGGAACATTGGCGATTGGCACCTCCTGACCGGACAAGGGATTGTAGGTTTATGCGCAACCCTGTAGTGTTTGCTGCAGAGGTAGTATGTCAGTTTGAATCAGTCCAAGATGAAAAGCAACGATGCTCGATCTCAGGGAATGAACCGCGAGAGCTGGAAGAGAGACAAGGGGGTACGCACTTTCGCTCGGTATTGCGCGGGAACGTCTTATTGCATCCGGTGTATTCGCAGATCAAGACATCCCCAAGCTCAGCATTTGATCGAACAGAGCTTCCACGACGTGACGATATGGCCCTTGATACTCTTTCCTGGGCTTCTGCGCTTTCATTTGACGACTCAAGGGTACCACCCGAGGGGTCCATGGTGTCTCCAAGTCCTGGGTAATCCATCTCCTGCTGAGAATCGTAAGAATCGAAATTCCCCTGGCTCAGCTGTAAGCCATTAGGAGACTACGTCTCCGATGGTTGGATACCGGAACTCTGAGGATGACGCGAGTCGATCAAAGCTGGGTTCACAGTGATGTCCCACCCTTCATCGGAGTCGACTTGGTCTGTGTTCTGGTATGCAGCCAGGAAGGACTGCTGGGGGCTGATACTAATACCCTCAGAGTCGTACCATACAGCTTCGTTCACTGTTGCAGATCCGTATGGGTCATAGCCCGCCCAATTTTCATCCTGGTAGCCAACCAACATGGGATCCACGGCGCCGTTCCTAAAGGCTCCATCCATGCGTGATCTCATGCTGGTGCGTCAGGTTGTACTCAATGTCTATTTTCTGTGCAGGTCAGGTTCGTCACAGCCACCTGATTAGTGGGCCAGAAATCTTACCTTTGCGATCTGTGATCGCAGCTGATGAGACGCCCTTGGTATACGTATACTAGAGACTTGCCTCGCTCGAACTCGCTTCGAGACGAAGCGCCTAATCTCCCGCTTGCCTACCGGAAACTCGTACAGAAAATTGTGGAAACGGTGTCATGCGAGGCTGAAGACGTAAGAACGGGTGTCAGACAAGGACATGACCACAATGATTGAGTCGGCACACCGGCTTGCTGCAACACACCTTACTCCAACGCAGCTGTATTCTGCTGCACCCTAGGTGGCACAAAACAATCAGTAGCGCCCTGCCGAGGCCTCAGAGCAGGAAACTAGTCGAAAAAGTCGGAGATCAAAACAGGAGTATTTGTCGTAATGAGAGATGGATGTCACGAGAGCCGGGCCGTACGAAGATATTAAAGCACCACTCCTCCAGGATTTTCAGAGCGACGAACTACCATCATTGTTCCCGCTCAGCGAAAGAGCTTTTTCTAGTTTCTTCCATGGTGAAAGCTTCAGTAAAATCATATGCGTTGTGTGTTGTTCAATTCCTGTTTGCCGTAAGCCACAAACTGAGATCAGCAATGCGGGAGGGTCACCAGGCTGCGATTCGGCTGGCTTGGTATCATCTCTTCGGTGGAGGTCAAGCCTCCAATTGGGTGTTCTGCGCGCTCCGCCTCAATCATGTTGGTTCCTACGCGGCTCCTTGGTTAACGGCTGGCCTTAAAGGCCTGCTCGACGGCCAGCACGCATGTTGGTTCCCTCCCGCATTAGTTGCCTTATCGCGCTGCTGCTGCAGAGATGTGACCCAGCTACCAACATGGGTGCATGGGACGTGGTTCAGCGACTCGTGTCATTTGTCGCCTTCATGGTTCCCTCCCGCATGCGACTTATGGTGCAGAATGATGCGGGGGAGTTGATGACAGCGCATACTTTGGCATGTCGTGCGCCGGACTCGATGTGGCGACCGACGATGGCAGGAAGCCGCAGTATTATGGGATTTTATAAATGAGCCTGCTCTCTCAGTGCCGATTAATGACCTTGGAGCTTTTCCAGAGTAGGCCCCTCAAGCAGGTACACGAATCTCAGTCTTGTCATTGAATTTCATCGATCACGGTAATCAAAACCCCGTCGAAGACCACCGAAGCACCCGGAGCTGCCTAGGCCATCCTGTCGTCATTTTGATAACGCAGACATCACACGCCATGAACGACCAACGATTCATCTCACAGCAGCCAAGTATGCTCGAGCCTTCCGAGAGCGACAATGACATGCCTGAACAGCTTGTGGTGGCCGCTCCGAGGCCCGATCGAACTGTAGCACTCAAAACCAACCGGCAACGCATATTTTACGAGCCCATCGTTTTGGAGCACGCCCTTACGATGGCGTGTCAACGGCGAAGCCCAGGCTATAAAACGTACACTGACAATCGTCAAGGCCCTTCATCTTCGCCAGAGCAAGCGTTTCACTGCTTTGTGTGCAAGCTTGCCCAAGTAATTGACAACGAGCGAGGGGGGCCGACTGTATCAGCGTTCGCTGTGTTGCAGGGCGTCGATGGACCTGAATACATTTTCGGATCAAATCAGAGAACCCAAGAGCAGGTTGTTGAAGCCAGAGATTTCATTCTCTCGCTGCTGCAGTTTCTTGGCTCTCAGTCTGGAATGAACCGCAGTGATTGGAAACGTGCCTTGTTTCAACGTATTATTCGATTCAATGCTCCCAGAATCGACATGTATCTGGACAAGCTGGCTAATAACCTCGGCGGATGCATGTCTGATTATGAAAGGAGGAGCGTGAAGAGCAAGTCTAACTTTGGATTTAACCCTTGAGTTTTCGCTCCTTATCAATGTCGTCGGGCTGACATGATTGGCAATAGACCTGACGCTCGAGCGAGAGCTATCCTCCTGGGGAATGCTCTTGAAAGTCATGTCCAGCGTCAGAGCAAATGAACGCAATCGAGAAGAATGTGAGTCAAGCTTTAGAGGCGTTTTCGGGCGAGAGAGAAAAGTAACAGTCTGTGCAGATACCCGTATCTGCGAAATCTTCATCAAGGCAACCAGAGGCTACCAAAAGTCTGCCATTGGCAAAGAAATCGCAGTAAGAGTGAAAGACAGCAGCATTAATAATTCCGAGCCCTGGAGGGAGCTCCAGCATTGCCTTGGCCGGCTTGGATCGTACGGCGAAGCAGTTCGCATCCTTACTTCGGCGTCGACAAGGTGGCCGGAGCTGTTCCAAGATTTCATTGTCACAGCTGTTCCTTCCAGTGTGCCGCACGCGAAGCCTCTGGTCAAGTCAAAGCTCACAGCTGCGCAAGTCATCGGCCGAATGCTGCGACATCAGGACGCACCACCGTACCTGGATCAGGTGGCCGAACTGCAAAAGTTCGGCCTGGATAAGCTTATTCAGCAGCAGGTCGCGATGTCAACCTTCAAGCCTATTGTTCATGCCGAGGTATTGGTCCATAATTACCTACTCAAACGAGACATCAAGTTAGCCAGCCAGTACTGGCACGGCTGGAAAACCATCGGTGGTAGTAAGCCAACATGCCGACTTTGCAATTACTACTTCATCTCGCATCCGGATCGACTCGACCAGGTCCGCGATTCGCACCGAAATCTCTACCCCAGTTGGAGGCTTCCCGATGTTTTCGAAAGTGAAGGAACCAGGGCGAACAAAGCAAGGTTGGATCTACTTGATGGCATTATTGCGAGGGTCCGCGACGACACCAAAATGACGCTGTTGGAGAAGGTCCCGCTAGGAAAGAAGCACGATTCCAACACGTTTTCTACAGTGCCAGAGTACCTAGACTCGAGGTCCCAGAGCTCACTGCCAGGTAGCGAGACGTTGTCAGTCATTGCTCAAGTTAGCATGGCCATGAGCAGGATGCAAGTCAGCAGAGAAGTCACAAAAGAAGTGGAAAGTGAAGACGATGAGAGTATTGCTGCGAGTGAGAGTGCATATCACAGCGATGGTGAGGTCGGTGGTGCCACACTTGTCTGGCACTAAGTTGGTGAAGGTGTAGGCAGCACTCACTTCCTTGTGTGTGTCGGTGACGGACTCATGCAAACCAATGCAAACCTATGATTGTTGATATTTGATTCAATCTCGGGCAGGTAATGAAAGCTTTAGTGTGTTCATGGTTTGAATACCTGCCACATTTCCCATAGGTTCTCAATATGGCATGTCGGACCAGTCAAGCTCATCTAGTTGTCACCTCTCCTCACAGCCGGGCAGTCTTTGGATCCATCGTGCTTGTTCAAGAAAGTCGTTGAGCTTCAAGCCATGTCCAGATTTTCGTCATGCAGACCACATTCTATTTCCTGGGTGGGTGATCGCAACTTGATCACCAGACATGCTCCCTTGCAGATGAGACAGCATTGTCGAGCCCACACTCAAGACAGCACCTAAGACAGCATGAAACAGACACCTAGCTTATCGGGACGACGCCGTCATGACCAGCACACATTTTAATCAGGGGTGATGATGTGGACACTCTGACCAGTTCACATTCCATCCCGCCGTTGTTGTCGTCAGTCGGTAGGAGAACCGAAATCGACCGTCCCCACTGCAAGGGCACGTGACGTCATGAGTAGCTGCTGAAGGCAGAAGCAAACATGAGCCGCGGAATTTTTATACGACAGACAGGAGAGGGATCGGAGACTGATGTGCCGGTAGTTCCAATTCCAGCGAAATCTGATCAGCACGTTGACTCATCCGGGAGGCAGCAGAACTTCTTCAACATGCTTCTAGCTTGATCAACAAAGGTTCCGTGGATAGGCTTGCGACAAGCTCGACACTCACCGAGGCCGTCTACACCGAGACGATCCACGGTGCAAATCCTCGGTCAACACGAAAAAGGGAAAGGCGCCCACACACGGAAGAAAAGCGGACCGCAGGCCGCTCCAGCTCATCTCGGCTTGCCAAAGCCACCACTTCCCACTGCCCGTGGCTGGTTATTTCCTTCTAGGGGGCGTTGTCGCAGCACGGCCAGAACAAGAGCCGGGGGCACGAGAAATTGCTGTGCAGCAGTCCTCCGGCGCCAAGACTTCGAATCAAGATTGAGGCCGGCGCCATCTGCAAGACAGGCAAGCCTGGTGTGGTCCGTCGCGATCGAGCAGAAGCCTGGGGATCAGGCTGTTGCGTATTCTCGAGGTCGCAGCTGCTCCGGAGCACACCCCCTCTCGCCTTTGGCAATCGTCAACAGGTGAAAAGCAATTGAGGGGAGAGGCTCACGTGATGTTTCTTTGCCCTCAGATACTGGAACAAAGAACAGGACAGAGGTTTCCAAGGAGGTCTGTTCGTCCAGCCACGGCCTACAGCTACAGTAGGGGGCCCGCTAAAAACAAACCCCAAAACACCCCCGGCGCCACGCCAAAGCAGCTGAGAAACCCACGCCCAAGGAACGCCAACGGGGCCCCAGAGCATCTCCGTAACTCCGCTCGTCACTCAGAGCAGAGGTCAGAGGTCCTCTCCCGTTGACATGCAACAGAGGACGGATATTTGCTCGGCCCTTGTTAGATATTTGCTCTGCCTAATAGGGGGAAAGCCATAAAAGACAGGGGGGAAGCTATAAATATAGCCCTACTACTAAAATTAGCTATAGTAACTATATACCTCTGCTCGTCTCTTATACCTCTGAGTTACTCGATAGAATAGTAAGGTAGGCGAGTTACTAAACGGCTATTAATAGCCTTTAGCGGCCTAAGGTAGTTAGTACTAATCTTTTTATATTATAAATTAAGATATTAAAAAGATTATAGTAAACGCTAAATTAGCTTTAATTAGAGGCTATTTAGAACCCTCCCTATTATTAGCTATAGTCTCTAGAAGCCTTTAGAGTAAATAGCCTAGGCTATTCGCTCTAAAACTACTACTATAACTATTACTAGAATTATAGTATATCTTATAATAACTATATATTAATAACTATTAATAGTAATTATAGTCGTAGAGAGGTATTACGTATTTATTCCTTAGCTAAGAGACGTTATATAGCCTCTTATTAGCGAAACGCCTCTATAAGGTTCGCTAATTATACTATAATAAACTCTATTTACTTATCGCTATTAATCTTCCTCTTCTTCCTCGACTAGATAGTAAAAGGGCACTTTTAAAATAGAATTAATATAGAATATAGTAATAGTAATTCTAATCGCTCTTATTCCGATAATATTTAGCTAAAAGTAATAGTTTACGTAATAGAGGTAAAGGAAATTAGGGTATTACGGGACTTTATAATAGAGGTATTATTAGTATCTTCCCTAAAGTATTAGAGGCGTTAGAGGTATTCCTATTTAATACGTTTAGCGCCCTTTAAGACCTTATTTAAAAATAGTTTAAGAGCTTCTTCGCGAGCTTTTTAAAGGATAGCTTATTTATAATAGAATTAGTAAATAGAAGCTAGAAAAGGGAGGGAAAGTAAATAGTAAAATTAATAATATTCTAATCGAGCTATTAATATATTAAAATATCTTTAAAGGTTAATAATTAATTAAGAGATAAATAGGAATATAGTATATATTAATAGGGTAGCCCCTATTATTTAATAAAGCTATTAGAATAGGGTAATAGCTAGAATTATAATTAATCCGAATTCCTAGCTCTTAAGGTTACTTATAGCTTATTTTATATCTTCTTAAAGGCTTTAAAGAATATAAGAAATATAAACTATTACGTAATCTATTCTTATTTAAATTTAATATTAAAATAGTATATTTATAATTAAATTAAAATAGTATATTTATAATTAAATTAAAATCTTATATTACTCTTTTTTCTCGTTAACTATTTAAACGATTCGCTTTTATAGAGTATAGAGGTTAGCTTAGCTTTTACCTCTTAGAAAGTAGCTTTTAAGCTCGATATAAGCTCCCTCTATTAGAGATATAATTCTAAAGCTATAATTTCGGAATCTCTTAATAGAAAACTTATAGAATTAACTATAAAACGGGAGCTAAGTAATATTTAAGTAATAAATAAACTTTAGAATTAAGATATTAGCTTTTTAATTAAGAATATAGATAGGGAAAGAGGTAAATAAACTAAGCTATTTAAGATTAAACCTATAATAGAATAAAGCTTATATAAACTAGAACGCCTTTTCTATTTTAACGTTAATATATTACTTCTAAGCGAATAAGAAACTATTAAGAGATTAATCTAATAATAGATCTAATAATAAGAATATAGAATTTAGGTATTATAAGCTATTTCTATTATCTATAGTATTAAGTATTAAACTAATAGCTAGAAATACCCTTATTATTAGGCTATTTTCGACGATTTTATTAATTATAGAGTTTTCTATTATATTACTATTTACTTAATTAAGTTAATATAGTTAATATCTCCTATAAGAATAATAGGAATAGCTATTTATATAGTTACTATAAAGGCCTCTAATTATAATATTACCCTCTAAGTAATTATTCTATTTCCTTTTTATATAGAGGAGAACGTTCTTATTTATATACTATATATAAATTTACTATAAGAGACGAGGGAATACGATTTTAAGAGTATTTTTAAGCTTCCGATCGAAATCTATAATTATAATATTAAGGGCTTTAATATTCTCCTTCTCTATTACCTCCTTTATATAGATAATTACTTATATATATATATTAGTACTTTTATCGGAAAAGAGTATAAAATAATAATTAAATAGGGTATAAATTACTATTACTTTATTTACTTAGAGGAGAGGTATTTTATAGTAATTTACTTATAGTTTTTAATTAAAAGGAGGCTATTTAATAGATTATAAACGAGGCCTTAAAATATAAATAACTCGTTTAATATATAGAATCTATTAATAAGAGGTTAGCGTTTTATTTCTATAATTAATTATATTAAAAGTAAATCTAGAAAATATAATCGATCTTTTATATAATAAGATTATAATATATAATACGATAGTATATATCTTCGTTCTATTCGAGGTTATTAATAAAGAGTTAAATAGGAGAATAATAGCTTTATTAAGCTTTCTATAACTAATTCCGCTAATTCTTTATATTTATATTAGAAAGGAGGATATTTTAGCCTTTATCTATATATTCCTTAATAATCTATTAAGTAATTTACTTATTAATTAATTAATTAATTAATATAAAAGCGTTAATACGATTTATAATACTAAGATCGTAAAATACCCTCCGAATTATAAGCGATACTTTAATTCCTACCTCTATAATAATAGAGTAATTAATTAAATTATCTAATAAGATAAGTATATATCTCTATTAGCTATTTACTTCCTCGAGAGTTCCTTACTATAAATAGTTAATTTTAGAGGAAGGCTTCTACCGGAGACCCTTCGATATAGAGGGTCTAGCCTTCCCTTAATCGTAGAAGAGCTTTATCTACGTTATCGGGCTATTCCTAACTCCGTTAATCTTCTTCTAGATCTATTCTATAATTAATCTATACCCTTAATAAGCGTAATAATCGTAAACGGTCTTAAGTAGCTCTTTATATATATTTATAGTAAAAGAAACGATAGGACCCTTAATAACGGCCTTAGTAATAGCTAGTAAATCTATTAGTAAAGGAGGTATTAGAGAGGTTTCTTTTAACGATAAAATAATATATTAATAATATCTAAAGGGCTTAAAATAGGTATATTTAGTAGTATTAATATATTTAAGGTTATTAAGAATTTAGTAGATAGATAGGGTAACTATAGAGCCTTAGGGGGCTATAGAGCCTTAGGGGGCTACCTATATTAGTTTATTAGCTAGTTATAACTAGTCTATAGCTCGGATTTTAGCTTAGAATCTATAGAGAGACTTAAAGGTATAAGAGACGAGTAGAGGTATATAGTTACTATAGCTAATTTTAGTAGTAGGGCTGTATTTATGGCTTCCCCCCTGTCTTTTATGGCTTTCCCCTTATTAGGCAGAGCAAATATCTAACAAGGGCCGAGCAAATATCCGTCCTCCATGCAACAGGAACCAGGGATGGCTCAATTCGCCGCATTTCCCGTTTGACTTTCACGAAAGGTT